TTCCACAAACCAAAATCGGTCACATCAGATGTAGATATAACAATTAAACACCTTCTAACAAAGCTTGACAAATGAAGTATGGGTGAGTAGAATAGAAGTGTTATGAATGTATTTAAAACATAGTTTTTTCTTTTACTAATACAGACTAATCGGTTAAAGATGTTTAATGCAAATATTATGAGGGGTGTGATTTTATAGTGGAATTCCATCAGCTTTTCTGTCACGATTGTAAGGGTGTGGACCGGTTCATTGTCCTGAAGACAACAAAGAATCGCTTTTTCATCAAATACAGCCAGTTTTCATTTATCTGTTCAATTAAATAGTCCAGTTAATAATAATTTCATGTTCCAATTTATTCAAGCTCAGTTTAAAAATGATAATATAGTGTTAGCCACTAAAAGTTTTCGAATACGCTTAGGACAAGTGCGTGTGAAAATTAGAGAGAATTAGCATTAGAGCAAGCAGAAAACGTACAATATCAGCGTTGCCAGTTTATACGACCCGACCGCGTTGTAATGTTGGCCGAAACGGCATGAGAATAAAAATAAAAGAGAAGAAAAAGCAGAAAAATAAAGATAACGAAGAGATGAAGAAAAGATAAAAAAAGAAGTAGAGCTAAACAATTGAAAATTAAATAAGTCCTAGCTTTGTTCTATCTAATTGTCATGCAGTTTCAGTTCAAGCAGCATTTATATCAGAAATATTCAATGTCAGTTATCTTAAAACTTAATATTTGCTTGTACTACCATAGAACTAAGTGAGCGATTTTGTTTTAAATCCAATCGTGAACCTCTCGGCACGCTTTTAAAAAGTAATATCTAATCAGCACGCGAAATTGACCGTTTATCTAAATAAGTTAATCACTAAAACGATAGTCAATCACAGACTAACACACACATCTGGCTCATAACAGGCTTTTAAGTTTGAAAAAAAAAATCACCATAAATAGTCTCGCGGCTCACATAAAACCATTTAAGTCCAATCAAAAAATTGCCCACTTAGCGTGAGAAATTACGAGCTTATTAGAAATAATTGAAAAGCGATTTGGAAACGATCTCGTACCATACAGATTTGTATCTCTTCCGACCCGGGTATTAATCTCCTCTGACATCGTGTGCAATACCCTGGGAAGAAAACAATTACCTGAGGTTATTACATTTAATAAAGAGCAATTTTTACGCCGGGTGTTTAAAGTAACGCCGTTTATCGTCACGAATTTTCAACGGCAGAGGTAATTGCCGACACAAAATGAAGATACCTCTGTAGGTAAAATACCAGGATTTTTAACAGTATTGGTCCCTCAGAAAAACAAATGAATAATTGAATATCTAATGGCCTGGATCTGTTTATAGCCAGTATTCGTCTATTTTAAATAGCAGCTCAGAAATTTTCCCATAACTGTCAACAAATACTAGGGAACTGTCAGTTTTGTGTGAACATTTTGTAGTTCTACGTCGTTTCAAAGGTAAGTAAATAGAAAACATGGACGGTATTGTAGAATATTATTAGTAATTTTTTACGCAGGTTTCCTACAAACTTTGAAGCAAAACCTAGAATAAGGAACACTAAAATATATTGGAAACTTTTTTAACATTAACGTGTCTCGGCATCTAGTGCCCACTGACACGAGATCTGTGATACATTTGGTTACATATAAAATCAAATTAAATTAAACAGTCGACAGTGTTTAGTGACTTAATCGCATCACTAAACTGGTTAGGTAGATCAAGAATGTTTTTAAGAGTTCCACTGAGCTTGTGTTTGCGACGAGTTGAGCTGTAATGTTTGCAATCTAAAAGTATATGCTCAATTGTAAGTCTTACACTATCACAGAATTCACAGATAGAGGGATTCTATGAGGACATCAGGTAACCATGGGTGAGTCGGGAATGACCTATTCTAAGTCTTCTTATAACGCTTTTGGCTGTTTTTGTCATTGGAAGCATCTTCTAAGCGGTAACTGTGGATTGTATTGAACGGAGTTTTGTGTTTGCCATGTGTGAATCATTGTTTGCCGAGCTGCTGATTTTAAATAAGATAAAGTTGAATTTGCTCTACTGGCAAGTCGGAGGAGCAAGTTTGTTTCGCTGCTTGGCTTGCACCTTCGTTGCCAGTAATTCCTACATGAAAAGGGATCCAGATGATATTCAAGCGATACCTCTACCAAAGAATGTTGTGAGTAGTTGTTTTTGATGGAGTGAGCCTCTACATATGGCAAGTTTATTATTATCCTGTACTGGAGTCCTCAAAGCTTGTACTATTCCATATAGTTCAGCTGTGTGTATACTACATCAGTCAGGAAGTTTGTATGTAGCTATTGTGTTCAATAGTGGATGTTTTTTGGTCCATGGAGGAGTTTTAGAAAGTTTTAAATATTAGTTGAGGAACATATATCATTAATACTCATCAGGAATAAAGTGGTGCTAAGAACCGACTCTTATGGTACTCCTTTCTCTGGAGCGTGCAATGCAGATGTTTGCCCATTTGTAACGACTTTGAAAAATCTGTTGGTCAAGAAGTTTTGTAGAAAGGAGAGAATGGTTTCAGATAAGTTAAAGTCTGTGAGTTTTTTGAAGATGGCGCTGTCAATATCTACACTCATAGCGATTATGTCTTTTTTGCTTTCAATAGCTTGTGAGATATTTGTTTTAAGAGTAACCAGGTTATCCAATTAGACCGTCAGATAGTGACCGATTTAAGTGTACCATTTTCGCATACAAGCCTCGAAGAGGGTTGAAATGTACATCGATGTTGAGTAGAATAAAAGAATAAATATTATTTATTTTATATCATATTATCATATCAATATATTGAGTTATTGACTTTTGGTTGGAATGTTAGTTTGAATAGAGTCATCTAAAAATTTATATAAATGACATTATTTTTCATAGCCGTCTACAAATAAATATAAATTATCTATAATATGTTGCCTACTTCTTGTAACATCATATGTTGTAATTTGTCATTGTTTCTATTGACACTAAAAAATATTTAGTGAAATGGGATACCTGGTATAGCAGTTTATTTTAAATATTAGTTTGTTGAAGAACCTCCTACAGCTTTAAATATTTTCTTTGTCTAAAATTCATGTAAACCATCTATTTTATTCGTGATATAACAAAAAGATATGATTTATCGCCAAAAAATCTATGTTTAAAATTAAAAACGTTGAAACTAGAAATGTTTCTAAAAGCATAATGTTACACAAAGGCTTAAAAAATGGTAACTCCTCTAAATTTATTGTGCCGTAAAACATAGTTCGTTTTTTTATTATTTTATTAGACAAGAAGACACAATAGGGACCAAAAGAATGAGGTATTGTTCGGGTTTTTGAGATATTAAAAGTGGTTCTTCTTCTCGGTTGGTATCTAATGAAAGGTTTAACAATATATCACGAAATAAAAATATTAAAATATAAAACAGAGTAGTGCCATTTTTTAAATATGGATGTTTTTAACAAACTACAATTAAGGTACCTTTAAATAAAAATTTGTTCTATGTAGTACATTTTTAATTTTTATACATTGTAGCTGATACTAAAGGAATTTTTCTTCACTTGTCCTTGATATAATTACATTGTAGTTTCCTTGAAACCTACTCATCAGCATCTACGGACAAGCTCGGAAAATTACAATTAATCTTCCTTAAGGTAAGTCGATTAATTTTTTAATTCTTGCACTAAAAGTCTAGATTCTAGATCTACAGGGTTTATCTAAAAACCGGGTATAAAAGTAGCTATTTTCTTGTTTTCAACTTGCTAGAATTTCAAATAAAATATAGTAAAATATTCGAGCTATTTCTAGGTCCGAATAATTGTCATCCTTGGTGAAGCAATTTCTACTAGTGACTCTCATTACCCCACTCTCCCCTAATATTTAATAGAAATTGCAATTGCAAATATAAATACGCAGGAAATGGTTTTACCTCGACACTAACCTTGACTTTAACTGTTTACGTAAATGCAACTACTGTTATTATTATCATCATTGGAATAATTGTTTATGTCGGAACAACAAAGACAGCCGCGTGTTTAACCAAACCGCTTTAAAGATAACGTACAGTTAAAAATCACTATTAATATTAAATAATCGAAAAAAGTAATAAATTTTTTTAGTAATTAAGATTTAACATTTGTATAAAGAAGTTAACAAAAGAAAAAATAATGTGTGAGAGAGAGAGAGAGAGAGAGAGAGAGAGAGAGAGAGAGAGAGAGAGAGAGAGAGAGAGAGAATGACATTAGATTAAGTAAAATTAAAATATTATAATCATTCCTTATTACTATAAAAAACCATTGTAAGTGTATAAAGGAAAAAAATTATTTTGATCAATTTTGAGAAATGATATGACTGTTCCTATTGTACCCTGTTCAATTTACTATAACATATATCACCCGTTTTGAATTTTCCGTAAAATTAGGTCCTTCATGTTCGCATTAAAGCCACATAAGAGATTTTAATGTAGCTATATTTAAATTCCATCAACCATGCAAAATGGAATCATTAATAAATAACCGGGTTCTCTTTGGTATATTAGACAAAATTACTGGATATATAAAACGAGAAATCCCGTAAAGTTTAATTATTATTAATTAAAACTACTCGACATTTCAAGAGAACTCAAATAGGAAGTGGATAGATCAATAGAGAGAGCAGCATGAGACAAAGGGTATTATACAAGCAAATATGCAGTTTTGGTAATAATCAAAGTGGCTTAGTAGTGTAATTATTGTAGTGACAAATTCTAGCAAAGTACGACAAATTTTAGGTATGTAAGTACTTACATGAATAACTGAAGAAGAAGTTACTAATAGAGCCAGAGCAGAGTGGTTGAAAAGGACAGAAAACAGTCTAGTGCCAGCATTGATTACGGGTTAGAATATTTGACAATTTTATTACTAAAATATTGAAATTAAAGTATTTGGAGTATATTTGAAGTTGCTCCTATTGGTGTAAATAAATGTAGTTGGGACATGAAACAAAGGTTGGGATTGTATGTCTAATCTATTTTACAATACTGACTACGTTATACCGTAATTTGGCTACAGTTTTTCGATGTCCATTACGATATTCCTGAATATCTCTGTGTCCCCACGGTAGAGTTTTCACGGTGTTTGGTATTATAAACCTTTTCTCATCGTTGTAAGATAATACAACTTTGTTTTTCATTTCAGTATATATGTCATGTAACGTACTTCTAAATGAATTCATTTTTCTAAATATCTTACCCCCACCTCCTACAATTTTTTGGTAATCCGTCATGTTTAAGCTGTTTTGTATTACACATATTTTTACGCCCTTAGCTGTTTTAGTCTCTTTTTCATCTGATCTAATATAATAGACCTTGGCGCCTGTCTCTAAAAATATGCTGATAACCTGATTTGGATATTCATCTTTGAAATTTCTCAATATTGGTTTAGTTACTGGGAGATTAAATTTATTATCCGCTTTATAATTAGATGTGTCGAAATGTTCAATATTTCTTTTCATAAATTCATAAAAATTTATTGAATTAACTTTAAGCACAAAACTATCAGTATCTGTATAAAGTAAGGAAACTTTATTTAAATTTTAATTTTAAATTTTAATTACATACATAGTTCAAAAAGAAATATAATAATAATAAATAAATAAAAATTAGAATTAACGCTACAATATTGTTTTCTACCCGTAATCTCTAATCTTGGCAATTTCCGAAATTATCACCGAAAATATTCGTCGAAATCATTACTGAAATCAACGCAGCTTGTGTAGGTCAAAAGAGAAGAGTAAAAAAAAATTCGACCAAAAATCAAGTGAAGGGTTCTCAAAAAAAAGTCATTTGAATATTCGAGAAGAAAATTTATAGAGAAATCATAAGAAACACCACAATTACTCACCAATTACCTTGCTATTTCCCATTGTCCTAGCAGACGTTACAGTCTAGAAACCATATTTATTAAATTAATTAGTAATATTATGCCGTTTTTAAGAAGTGTTTTTATGAATAAGTATATTATTAAGTCTAATTCTCGTACATTTTACATATTTTTCTAGATCGTATGTAGGCCGTTTAATGTCAAAACCATTACCCAGCATAAAACCCATCAATTAGCCAAGAATAATTGTTTTTGTTTTTTAATTGGTGGCTCACTATAGTTTATACAAAAGGAAATTGTTTATTTACTATAATAATAAAACCGTGAATAAATGCGACAATTATAGACGTTTAATAACAAACCCAATTACGCATGTAAGACCCATTAAAATTGAATGTTTTGTGATCATAGAACAGTTAACTCAAGCGGTCTCGAACTGAACTTAAATAATAAAATCACATGAATGATGATGACAGCTTTAACGTCCGTAGAAACATCGCCTACGCGTTTTCTTCTTTCGTTTTAGTACAGTCAATAAACTGGTTTAATGTTCTAAATCACTAATTCGTTTGTAGTTAAAATTTCATGGTTAAGACCATCGTTCATATGTACGATATTAAGGCCCTCCCCAGACCAACGCGAAATGTTGCGAATCCGCATTTAAATAAAATGTTTTAAACAAACTTTTTCAATTCCTTAAAAATTTAATAAATATGATATAAAAATGAAACTCAATCTGTTTCTCAAAATTAAATAAAGACGTTATTAATTGTAAGTATAACTTTCATACAGTGGGGGTGTTCACAGTGACAAAAAATAGGTATCAGTACAGATGTATGTGTTTTACCTATACCTATACCGGGATCTATATTCTACTACTGTGTGTTTTAGAATGTGTATTGAACAGCTCTTCTGTTTCATGTATAATGAACAATTAGTTTAGTTAATTATGTAATTGTACATTGTTTTCACCTGCTCTATAACTAGGCGATCAACCTGTAGAGCTGAATATATAATAAATTAAAAATATAAAAGGTTGTTAAAAAAAGTTCCAGTTTCACCAGACTAATTTTCTTAAAGACTAATCTCTCGACCTTGACCAATAGAATTAGAATAAATTAATTACAAATTACAATTGAGTCTAATGGTGATGCGTAACGAATACCAGAACGAAATGATGTAATGACGAATGCTTTTATTTTAATTGTAATCATCAATTATTATTTCTGTAATTTCTTCTATATTTGTATATATTTTACCTATACTATTAATATTGTTTACCGATATTATGGGCTGTTTTTTATGATTTATCGCAAATGGTCATTTCTTTATCTTATTCAATTTTTTCTTCATCTTCTTTTTCTTTATCATTATATTGTTCTACATCATCTTCTACATCAACCTTCTACATCAACTTCTACATCATCTTCTACATCAACCTTCTACATCATTTTCTACATCAACCTTCTACATCAACATCTACATCAACTTCTACATCAACTTGTACATCATTTTCTTCATCATCTATCTTCTACATCATCATTATCATCATCATTATCACCTTAAAGATTTAATTTATTTCATACCTTAAAAAATTAGAAATATTGAAAAATTGCAAAAAAAAACTAATTGATTAAAACTGGTGTACCACAAGGGACAGTCCTTGGTCCTGTACTATTTTCAATATATGTAAATGACTTGTATAAGAACCTAATTAATTCATATTAATTTTTGTAATTATTTAAGTCGCATTATATTCTATATTTATTTTTAAAATCTTTTTATTCAATACATTAACATTAATGCACTATATATTTAAATCATGTATAGTAAAAGTAAATAACATTATCTCTTGTATGAATAATTATTGTAATAACTAAAAGTGTATTTATAATGTATATGTATGTACACTATAATGTTGAATAAAGATTATTATTATTATTATTATTATTATTATTATTATTATCATCATCATCTTCATCCTCGACCTAATGCTCTACCTCACCTTCATCTTCTTTTTATGTTTTTTGTTCTTCACAAAGATTTGCCTTTTTTTTATTTACATCATTCGAATCCTTACAAAAATATAATCATGGAAATCATTTTGATCAATAGTTAATCGTTTGCTATTGCTACAAATTCATTACTTTCATTAAAAATGTAAAAAAAAATACATGGAATACTAACTTATAAAAATTGGATATAATAATTTATAAATGAATGGAAAAGTATTGTCAAGCCATTGGCATTGTTACGATAGTTACTAAGCGAGATAGACAAGAAAAAATTTGTACCAGTCGTCATCTCTGATACCTCTGTAGTTTTCTTAAATAAAACGGACTCTAACTGCTCCTTCTACTATAGTAATCTTGAGAATTTGTTCAGCAAACTCGTGTGTGTTCAGTTTTCTTGTTGTACATACAGAAAGTTTGTTATAAAATTAAATACTGCAATATCTCACGGAGGCTTTGTCACTGAAAATAGCAACTGACTAACACCACCAGAAAGAATGCAAATAATAAAATACGACGAAATGCAAGCCGACACCAAATAGCGTGTCGCATTTAAATTTAATTTAAACCCCTGGAAAATAGATTTGAAACAAATTGATAAAAATCGTATAAAGAATAAAATATCATAAATAAAACTTGTTATATTTTTATTGACTTAATTATTAATCATACATCACGATTTCAATAAATCAGGTTTTGTCAAAATTTTAATGGATAAATTTTGACTGTAACAAACTTGTTGATAACAACGATGATAGAGAAAAGAAACTAATTATAAGATTAGTGTTTGAATCGTTAATAATATTAAACAAGATAAGTCGTTAATTTCTTAAATAATGCTAATCAGGAAAATGTATTAAAACATATTTTTCTACTACCGTGCGTAAAGTACGTACTTTACGCACTCCACGAAGTGTGTAAAGTTGTACTTTTTTTCACTAGTGCGTAAAGTAAAACTCTTTACGCACTAGTTAAAAAAAGTAAAAATTTGACAAAATTTGTACATAACAATAAAATATAACGTTTTATTTTATATTAACATTTTTTTGCTATCTCCTTCTAAGACAAATAAATAAATTAATTTTGCTTATATCTATTTAGTGTCCAACAAATTATCAACAGTTTATTTTAATTATAATTTTCTCTAAATGTCATCGATTTAATTAAAAGTAAACATACAGTGGATGTCGATTTTGGTAAAAGTAAGTTGGCCGTGGCTGTGTGGATTAGAAGAACTGTCAATCTCTAAACTTTTAATTAGTACCTACCTTATAACAGAACACGACAAAAGTATACTTAATTAAGTTCAAGATTAGATTCTAAAGCCAATTTAGCATTTTTTTAAACTCAATCAAGTTTGAGAAGGTAAAAAGTTTTACTTTTTAATGTTTGTTTACTTAAATTCAAATTTTATTTGCAGTTTATTATATCTGTCATAATCGATATGGATTCAAATTTATCTAGCGATAGCGAATTTGATAATACTCCCCCAGATATCTTATGCAGTGCACAAAAGGCAACTGAAAATTTATTGCCAGAAAAATCTGCATATATTTATCAGCAAAAATACAATGCATTTATAGAATGGTGTAGGAAGAATAAGGTGACAAAATATTCTGAAAACGTTATTTTATCATATTTCTCTGATGAATTGAAGAATTGCAAAGCTTCTACCCTATGGTCGATTTATTCTATGCTTAAAAGCACCTTAAAATATAAAAACAACGTTGATATTTCGAAATTCAACAAGTTAATAGCGTTTCTCAAACAAAAAATAAAGGTTATAAACCAAAAAAATCCAAAATTTTTAAACGAGAAGATCTAATTAATTTTCTGTTGAAAGCTCCAGATTCCAAGTTTTTATTGATCAAAGTAAGTAAATGCCTCAGTAAATGCTTGAATGCTTAGTATAAAATTAAAATATTTTGTAAAGTTTTGCAATGAGATGTGTGTTCGTATGGTGTGTTGCCTAACAAAATCAGTTGCTGTCCTAACAGGCCACCGGGGTTGTTAGGCAGCACATTATATCTAAAACTTTTATATTTTTTACAATAGCATTTATTTGGAGTTTTACATGCGCAACGTCAAGATATTTCCTAATGTTTAATAAATTATTTGTAACATTACAATATGTTATTTTTTAGGTAGCTTTTATAATTGGAATTGCGGGAGCTTGTCGCCGGGAAGAATTATGTAAAATGACAATTAACGATGTGAAAGATAAACAAACAGTGTATATTGTCAAAGTATCAGAAACCAAAAATGGAATAGAACGCATTTTTACGATTTTAAATCCAAATAATTCTGCAGTTGATTATTTATCTTTCATAAAAAAATATACCTCATTAAGACCATCAAATATAAATTGTAACAGTTTTTTTTTTTAAATTCGCAAATGGAAAATATTCTAAACAGCCTGTAGGGATAAATACTTTTAATAAAATGCCAAGTGTTATAGCAACGTATCTAAACTTGCCCAATCCAACGGCTTTTACAGGACACTGCTTTAGGAGGTCTTCAGCCACTATGCTGGCAAATTCTGGAGGAGACCTTCTAACGGTCAAAAAACATGGAGGATGGAAATCATCTGCTGTTGCAGAAGGCTACGTAGACAGCACAA